ACCTAAACAATGTTAATGTACCACATTTTTGGCAGGTCGTCCTCTAACAATCTAATGTCTTACTTAGGGCAAAAACTTCTATCTGGGGCTATTTGTAGTTGGGGGTAAAGTCTGTTATGATATGCCAAAACAGACATATGACCAGGTTAGTGGTGTAATTAAAAGGAGAGCGGTGGGGCAGAATAAACGGCAGCTGTCCAGTTAAAGGGGGATTTTGTCACAACAAGGGTATATAATTCATTGCTGCACTATATAATATTGCCATTTTAATGTAATTTGTGTAGTGCATATATGAATTGGCCATTTGGTAGAGGTAGAAGGGCCAATTTGATTATAGAGGACAGCTGTCAGAAGGGGTTAATGTAAATTGTATAGGAATGTGAAAGGGGTCAGATGGTTTACAACATGAAGTGCGCCTTTGGTTAATCAAAGGCTTTGCAAGGTGTGACATTTTACACTTTGGCCGTATGTATGTGTGTTTCAATGTACACTAACTGACTTCGACCATATGGCCTGAAACTCTTAATTGTTCATTTCTTTGATATGTTAATGGACATTGGTCTTTAAGAAAACCATTGTGTTCCAGTATCATATCCAAAAAAAAATGAATACTTATCCACAGATTAATAATTAAGCCTCGTTTTTATTATATTTAGAATAGGACAAGCACTATCTTCTAATCAAGCCTAAACATGATTAATGCAACATAAGAAATTTGGGAAGGCATTGTGATGTCCGCTATGTTAGGTCACAATTAGGTGACATCTATGGAGTGAAAAAAAATGTTAAATTCATAGATGCAATTATTATTTTCCCTCCATATTAGAGGCAGTGCAGTACACAAGGGATATCCTCTAGTCTGGACAGGAAAGACAGACACCTAAAATGTAAATGGTTAGGCTCCTCCCCTAGGTATAACTCAAAGAGCTCCAAGACACAACCCTAGTTCTCTGCCCGCCAAAGCAGGCACTCACTTTTGTGTCTTCAGGATAAGGTAAGTTGGCTGCGGCTGAGGAGAGGTCTGTCAATGCTGATGCAGAACAGGTCTGGCTCTCTCCTCTGCACTTAGATGGAACACTCACCGGGTGCCTGTGTTCTTCATTCTCTTTCCACCAAAGGCCGAGCAGGGTGCCGGAAATGGCGAAGGTGTGCTCCTGAAAGTGGAACACACACAGGTTGTGATGTGTTCCAGCGGGAGATTGCAGTGTGCATGCTATCTCCAAATTCAGGTACAACATGATTTAATTGTTTAACGGTTTCCAAGACCATGGACAATGTCAAAACCCAACACCAACTGTTTGCCAAGTGCTCTCAGTTCTGTTGCAGTGTGCGCTCCAATACACTCAGGGGCAATTAAGGTAAGACTTTTTGTCTTATGGTCTCTTGCCTGAAAATTTTTATTTTCTTCTTCCTCAAGCCCAGCCAGACAGCTTTGAAGAAATTGGAAAGGCCTAAAGAGACACTCCACTGCCCAGATCAAATATATAATGGAAAATTGTTTCATACTTACTGTAATTTTCTTTTCCTGATCATTATTCATGGCAGAATTTACTCATGGGTTAGCTCCTCCCCTTACAGCAGAAAGGACAGGAAATAGAACTTTGAAACTGGTATAAATAGATCCCCTTCCCATCAGGCAGTCTTTGTAACTAGCTTCACAACTCCTATAGTATATGGGTGGGAACGTAATGCTGTCATGAATAATGATCAGGAAAAGAAAATTACACTAAAGTGTGAAACAATTTTCCTGCTCAATATTTACTCATGGGGAATACCAAGCAGTATATATCGAGGGAGGGACAGAGTTCAAAAACAGCTAATAGCTATAAAACCATTATTGAGCTGTATAAATTGTAGAAGCCAAACAAGAATCAATAGGAAATAGTCATAAAATCTGCTCAGACAAGATAATTTTCCCTAGAGGCTGCAAGGTCAGCAACCTCCTGGCATTTAATATCTGAAATATCCTGAGTAAATATAGAGAGTCAGATAGGAATTAAAGCCATGATAGCATAAGCTAGAGAAAGATAATGTCATTCTGATATAAAACCAAATTGATGTCATCAAATCAGAACCTTGACAAAGGCATAACTTCCAGAGATCATACTGGAACATGCAGATAATGTTGGATGAGAACGGACACACCATGTTATTAAACACGGGAGAATTACACTGAGAATCCTACTACTTACTGGATGTATGTATTAAATACAATTCACACTGCTTCCTCTTGCCTAGTGAACTACTCACCTGAAGATATAGGAACAAATCAATATCTGCCTGTCAGAAAGAGGCAGAGCCTAGTAGAGAAATAAGAGTCTGTTATTAAAATACTGCAACAATGACCCGATGTTGCAAAATTCAGATTCACAACAATACCTCACATAGTGGATGAATTGATACAGCAATGATCAGTCACAGGAGAGGAATAAACTAATATTACTTGGCAAAGGCAAGAAGAATCATATACAGATTAGCTGAGGGAAAAAAAAGAAATATCAGTATGAACCATAGAATTTGTGGCAACTACTAAATTATGGTGCCAATCTGTATAGTAAAATTTATTAGAGACTGTTGTGCAACATAAGTAAGAGATATATATAATAGGCAAGATACTGATGGGAAGGTGGTAACCAGAGGCACATTATACATTGTGGCAACAGACATAAGCAGGATAGTAGAAGATATTCAGTTGTCCTTATTAGAACAACAACCGCATACTTACTCTTACCTTATCTTCAGATAGTGAAGAAGTACTTATGGCAGAGCCTATGGTGATAATAAGCAGCTTGTTATATCTGCAAGATATCAACACCAATCCAAGCATATATTCCATAATTATTAAATCAATGCAATGTTAGGAGTGACCATAACTTATACAGATCTAGGTACAGAGACCATGTAAAACATATCAGTCAAATGTTTGTCATCAACAAGCTACATTACATTATGCAGGATGAATCAACCATTTAACCCCTTAAGACCGGAGGGCGTACTATTACACCCTATTTTAGGCGGCTCTAAACGCCGCCGGGCGTAATAGTACGCCCTCCGGTCTTTCCTTACTTACCCGGTCGCCGGCAGTCCCACGCCACCGATCGTGGTGCGGGGGACTCCCAGGGAGCCCCACCCCGCGGCAGATCCTCCTCCTCCGGTCCCCCCCCGGCCATGTGAGAGTGAGGTCCTTGCGAGGACCTCACAATCACATGGCCGGGTTAGCTGGCTTCTGTATTGCCAGCAGGGGGCTGCCTGTAATGAAAGGTGGTCACCCTGCAGGCTGGAAATAAAAATTAAATTAAATTAACAAAGTGTAAAAAAATAAAGAATTATATATATATATATAATCTAAGTATATATATATATACACACATATACATACACTGTCTAGGTGTATTTTACTATATATATATATATATATATATATATATATTAATATCAAATTACACGTAGACTGATACTGATTAAATATATATATATATATTTATTGTTATATTTATATATATAATATAAAGAAATTAAATATGTAAATACGTTAAAAAATAAAATAAAAAGATTAAAAAGAAATGATTACAAAATATATAGGTGTGCTATTTCGTTCTAACTGTATTGTGATATTAATATATATATATATATCAAAATACACGTAGAACGAAATAATATATATATATACATACATAAATATCACTATATATACCTATATATAAATAAAAATATTTTATAAAATTATATATATATATATATATATATATATACACACATACATACATACATACACACACACACACACACACATATTAATGTAATATTTTTTCAAAATTCGGTATCTTAATTAATTACAATTAGCGGGACCTGCCTGACAACCCATGCTGAAAGTAAAGGGAATTTAATTTGCTAGCACTATATTTAACCCTATAACTTTCCAAGACACCATAAAACCTCTACATGGGGGGTACTGTTCTACTCGGGAGACTTCGCTGAACACAAATATTAGTGTTTCAAAACAGTCAAATGTATTACAACGATGATATCGCCAGTAAAAGTGAAGTTTTTTGCATTTTTCACGCACAAACAGCACTTACACGGACGATATTATTGCTGCAATACTTTTTTACTGTTTTGAGTTCAGCGAAGTCTCCCGAGTACAACAGTACCCCTCATGTACAGGTTTTATGGTGTTTTCAAAAGTTACAGCGTCAAATATAAAGCTTGTGTTTCATTTTTTTCACATTAAAATTTGCCAGATTGGTTACGTTGCCTTTGAGACCCTATGGTAGCCCAAGAATGAAAATTACCCCTATGATAGCATACTATTTGCAATAGTAAACAACCCAAGGTATTGCAAACGGGGTATGTCCAGTCTTTTTTAGTAGCCACTTAGTCACAAACACTGGCCAAAATTGGCGTTTTTGCATTTTTCACACACAAACAAATACTAACGCTAACTTTGGCCAGTGTTTGTGACCAAATGGCTACTAAAAAAGACTGGACATACCCCATTTGCAATACCTTGGGTTGTCTACTATTGCAAATGGTATGCCATTATGGGTGTAAATTTCATTCCTGG